ACGCCACAACAACAATGCTGAGTTCGAAGAGCAATTAAAAACTTCTGTTCGAGGCCTCCCTGCGACTATGAACAATTACAAAGTGTGAAAAACGCATTTCTCAGGAGCCGTGTTTTGTGTTCAGCCTGTTGTCCTCCACCCCGCACCTCCGATTAGCACGGTCTGACAGCGTACGGTGCGCGAAAGAAGTTTCACACAAATACAAATTGCATTTGGATTATTTCAACGAGTAGTTTGAGCAACCCTAGCTAGCTAGCTACTACAGTGGTGGTGCCGCTAAGAGGGTCCCGGCTGGTGGCGAGCTGTTAACTCCCTCGCCCGGTGTACAGGAGGAGGAGGTCGTGGATTCCATCCCGACCCCTGCTGTATATTTGGAGTTTGCATGTCTCTCTCAGTAGACCTTACCTGGTAAGATAAAAAATATATATATATAGCTTCGTAAAAGAGAGAGCGTTGTTGCGCTATGAGGAGTATGAGCCTGGACACCTGAGTTCCGAGTCCCGGCAAACATCAGTGGCGTCTGATATGCGAACTGGTCCGGTACTCAACGTCACCAACCCGCACTGACCGGCATGGTGAAGTATGGCGAAATAATCCCCCCCATCCACTCACAACCAGCACGGCGTGAGGAGCCTTTCAGTCAGCCAATCTCTCTCTCTGCTCTCTACTGTACTCTGAAGGCACGTTGCCCGAAACGTCAGTCTGCTGAATACCATCCTCGTAGTGCGGTGACGATGACAAACCGTGGCAAGTAGACGATTGATAAATCTCTCGGGATAAACAAAAAAAGACCAAGAGGCGTGTGTGACACGTCCCGCTTGACGACGATAAACATTCACTGCCGCTGTTTGACCGGGCAGTCCGTCCGTGGACACTGGCAGTGCGCACGAGAGGCGACCGAGGAAACCTCTTCCCCGCGTGCACCCCGTGGGGCCTAGCTCACTCGACCCGGCAAAACGGCGCGCCCTTCCCGACTGCGATCTAGCCGAGGGTCGGCGAGTGCGACAACAAACGAGGCGGGTGCTGGGTGGCGACGGATTACCTTCGACTTGCGCAGGCGACATTGCGAGAGGGTCTTCGGTCGAACGGGTCGGCAGCGATGTGGTCAAATGTCACCTCTCGGCATCGTTGTTGTTGTTGTTGCTGTTTCTGCCGCTGCTCTAAAGAATATCGGAGACAAGAGTTTGGAGTTCGATGCGGCGTAGAAGCGATGCCGTCATATGATGACACACGTGAGCGGTGGCCACCGCCTCTGCGTGAAATGAGACAGAGGCGTGTGTTTTCACAGCCGGGAGTCACTCAGACAGAGGCGTCTGTTTTCACAGCCGGGAGTCACTCAGACAGAGGCGTGTGTTTTCACAGCCGGGAGTCACTCAGACAGAGGCGTGTGTTTTCACAGCCGGGAGTCACTCAGACAGAGGCGTGTGTTTTCACAGCCGGGAGTCACTCAGACAGAGGCGTGTGTTTTCACAGCCGGGAGTCACTCAGACAGAGGCGTGTGTTTTCACTGCCGGGAGTCACTCAGACAGAGGCGTGTGTTTTCACTGCCGGGAGTCACTCAGACAGAGGCGTGTGTTTTCACTGCCGGGAGTCACTGAGGCACAGGGGCCTAGAGACCTATCGGCACGAGGACAGGCATAGAGACACAGGGACATGGTCTCTGGGACAGAGGCACAAACACATGGGGACATCGATATGGGATCAGACACAGAGACGTGGGTGGGGGGGGGCAGAAACATATACGTAGAGACGTGGACATGTACACACAGAGACGTGTGTTTACACAAACGGAGATACATTTTTATTATTGTTATTTCTGTTCTTGTTTACTCAGTGGAGTCTCAATACTCGTTTTTTCACAAGAGTCCAGCAAAGGCTGTCGCTACGTGTAATCCCTACAGGTACTGTTTCAAGTTTTCAAGTTTCATTTATTAGGTATAGCCCTATGAGCCATGCGGCTCTTAAGTCGGGTGCACGCAACAAACAAAATTTGAACACAACATCTAAAGCGACAACGCGTAACAGAAACATCCTGGAATAAACCAGCAAATATTCCACACACACAAAAAACGTATTAATACGCTGTGTGCAAAAATCAATGTGGTGCAAGCCAACAACAACAACCATAAGACAATTTAGATTAACCATATGTTTTCGAATCAACAAAATAAAGCTATAAAAACAATGTAACAGTAATCATAGGAACTGTGATTTTAAATTTAACAATAAACGATATACATAACACGTACGACAAAACCTGCAGCCATAGCTGGCAGCACGACACTCCCAGTATATGATGTGTGAGTGAGTCAGCGGCAGTGTGAGTGAGTGTATGATGTGTGAGTCAGCGTATGATGAGTGAGTCAGTGTATGATGTGTGAGTCAGTATTAGGTTGAGTGAGTGTATGATGTGCGAGTCAGCGTATGATGAGTGAGTTAGCGTATGATGTGTTAGCGCATGATGAGTGAGTCAGTGTATGATGTGTGAGTGAGTGTATGATGTGCGTGTGGGGAGCGATAGTGTAGCGGTTAGCGCGCTGCGCTATGAACCTGGCGACCCGGGTTCGATTCCCGCTCACGGCCAACACCAGTGACGATTATCTGAACCGGTCCCGGGCCTCCCCTAGGTCGACTCAGCCTCAAATGAGTACCTGGTGCGGTGTGTAAACATTGCCACTAGGGAGACAAAGGCGGTCGGGCGTGGTGCTGGCCACCCACCCCCTCGTGTACCGTTCCGGCCTTCATAGGTGCTCGCTAACAGCACTTGCCCCTACAGTCTGTTAAGGCTATATGGGGGATCTTTGTTCTTTGTTTTTGATGTGCGAGTGAGCCAGCACACGATGAGTGAACCTGTGTATGATGAGTGAATGGGTCAGTGGATGTGCGAGTGTATGATGTGTGAGTAAGCGCATGATGAGCGAGTCTGTGCATAGTGTGTGAGCGAGTCAGTGTATGATGTGTGAGTGAGTCAGTGCATGGTGTGTGTGTGAGTCAGTGTATGATGTGTGAGTGAGTCAGTGCATGATGTGTGAGTGAGTCAGTGTATGATGTGTGAGTGAGTCAGTGCATGGTGTGAGTGAGTCAGTGTATTATGAGCGAGTCAGTGCATGGTGTGTGAGTGAGTCAGTGTATGATGTGTGAGTGAGTCAGTGTGTGAGTGAGTGAGTCAGTGTGTGAGTGAGTGAGTCAGCGTATGATGTGTGAGTGAGTCAGTGTATGATGTGTGAGTGAGTCAGTGTATGATGTGTGAGTGAGTCAGTGTATGATGTTGGAGTGAGTCAGTGCATGGTGTGAGTGAGTCAGTGTGTGAGTGAGTCAGCGTATGATGTGTGAGTGAGTCAGTGCATGGTGTGAGGGAGTCAGTGTATGATGTGTGAGTGAGTCAGTGCATGGTGTGAGTCAGTGCATGATGTGTGAGTGAGTCAGTGCATGGTGTGAGGGAGTCAGTGTATGATGTGTGAGTGAGTCAGTGTATGATGTGTGAGTGAGTCAGTGCATGGTGTGTGAGTGAGTCAGTGCATGGTGTGTGAGTGAGTCAGTGCATGGTGTGTGAGTGAGTCAGTGCATGGTGTGAGTGAGTCAGAGCATGGTGTGTGAGTGAGTCAGTGTATGTGTGAGTGAGTCAGTGTATGATGTGTGAGTGAGTCAGTGCATGGTGTGAGTCAGTGCATGATGTGTGAGTGAGTCAGTGCATGGTGTGAGTGAGTCAGTGTATGATGTGTGAGTGAGTCAGTGCATGGTGTGTGAGTCAGTGCATGGTGTGTGAGTGAGTCAGTGCATGGTGTGTGAGTGAGTCAGTGTATGATGTGTGAGTGAGTCAGTGTATGATGTGTGAGTGAGTCAGTGTATGATGTGTGAGTGAGTCAGTGTATGATGTGTGAGTGAGTCAGTGTATGATGTGAGAAAGTCAGTGTCGGCTCCCTCAGCTCGCGCCGTCGCCCCCCCCCCCCCCCCCCCCCCCCCCCCACGTTTTGGACCACAACGCCGTTGCCGGAGGGGTTGGTGGTGGTGGTGGTGGAGTTGGTGGTGGTGGAGTTGGTGGTGGTCGAGTTGGTGGTGGTGGAGTTGGTGGTGGTGATGGTGGAGTTTCTACCGGAGCGCGTGGGTCGCGAGGCAATGAACGCACCAGTTGGCTTATGCACTTTTAAATCTTAAGTTGAAAACTCATTTTGTTTCCAATTGCTTTTTGTGTTTCGCTTGTTGTCCATCCTCCGCATAGCGCGGTTGGCTACGTACGGTGCGAACGAAGTTCAACCTACAAACGGCACGGCCGTGCGCAACTCTGATTGGCCAGCGGCAGCAGCCTTACAGCACCTGCACCAGCCGCATTGAATCCCACGTGGCGCGTTCGGTTCTCAGTTACGGTAAAGGTGCAGCCCTGCAATTCCTCCCGTCACTGGTGGTGGATGGGCCACCAGTGGCGTAGGCGGTGTCTGTTCGTCTCTTCCCAAGCAGAGCAATCACCCACCACCACCACCACACGAAACGTTCCGATCGACTCACGGCGTGCGCGCCCATATTCCACAATACGATATCACATTTCACAATTAAGGATCGTCACGATATCCGTGTCGCATAACGTCATTTGTACATATTTATGGTGCAGTATCGTTGTTGCACTTCTCATGCACAAATATTGCCTAAAAGTTTTTCAATTTCAGTTCACTAAAGTCTGTCCATTCTTATTGCAATATATAACCCTTATGACCCAAACCATTGGTGCACTATGAATAATTTAATATTGAACCAGATCATGACATAACAATAGCCGCTGTGCCATCAATTATGCCAAACATGTTTTTGCAAAGTATTAAAACGTAAATTAATTACCATTTTTCAACTATGCACACATTGAAACTCACGATTTAAAATATTGCATTTTTTTTACACGAAACAAAGCACTAAAAAAAGAGGCAATCACACGGTGTTAATTCCCAAATCCACGTGTCACTGTTAGGGTCTACCAGAGCCGAAATAATAATTCATAAACACAGACGATGTCTTAAAAAAATCAAGACTTTATTCAATAAAAATAACATTTAAGTAATGACAACGCTTACAATTATAACTCAAGATACAACCTCAACTAAAAGAGCACCACCAATGTTAAAACAACTATTTTTTTTAAAAAAGATCAACACAAATAACGTTAACGAATGATTACATCCTTAAGAAGAGACGCTTCAACTGAAATTACAGGATACGGATTGTTTTCACGTGATTTATTGGTAGGTATACACTTTGAAGGGGGAAAACAATTATTTCCCACTTGTATTTCCCATCTGTTATAGAAGCATTTTTAGAGAACAACGAATTTCCAGGGAAGAAAATCACTTTTTTTGCACAAAACAAAGGCACTTGGTTAAGCAGGAAAGGATGTAATTGCACGTAACACAGTGACGTTTTAAGCTTCTGCAACTGGGCAAAATAACACAAACACCCGGAAGACATCTGCCTAAATTAAACACTCAAAAATTAACAGCGTGTTAAATAGCGAACCCATCACACCAAAGAACAATCTTGGAAATTATTCAAATGTTATATGCTGATAACAAAATAAATAATACCCACTTTCCATATTCTCTACTCACAACGACTGAATTACTGTGTTATGTATTACTTAATTTCGTGTTGAACAGGGACAATTTCTTACATTCAGTGACCAGTACTGAATTGGTTCAAGCAAGCGTAACTGCTAATGGGACGTCGAACCCTTGGAACCAGTGGAGTTTTATTGTTTTGAACCAATACAGTGCTGCCAAGATGCACTCAGAAAGTCGAGCAGCTGGTGGCATGTGTAAAAACATATTTTCATTTTATTTTCATTTTTTACGTGGAGACACAAAAATGGAGGCGTTGTGTGTTATTATTGTTACCCCTCTCCGCAATGACGCTTAACGATTATTCTGTTATAGATACAAACACATCATCATACTTGGGTTATGTAAAACCCATTGGGACGGTGCTTACAGTGACTTTACACAGACGCCAAGCGCAACAACGTCCAACATTCAGTAGGTTGCATTCAGGTTTGTGCTGTAAATATAACTGTAAGCTCACATGCGAAAGTCACAACTAGAATTAAAAGCTTGTTCATACACGGGGAATCTGTCATACTTATTACAAAGCCTCCCAGTAAGCAAGGAACTTTGGGCCAATGTTGGCACCTTTACCGAGCTCTCACAACATATGGTTATCCCGAAGAACAGGTATACAACGATATGCAGTGTAGATTTTAAATTGGAAACTTCCATAGCCCTGAAATCTCCGATTATTAATGCTAGCAAGTGGATAAAATACCAGAGCCACACGCTTATAGGTAGGTCCTAAGCACCCCCTTTCCTCGAGAATGCACATGACCTGGGTGCGAATGGCATACGTACAATGCCCAAACACGAGTTATCACACGGTGGAAATTAAAGCGTGAAAAACATCTCAAACGGACGCCCACTTAATGTAGGAGTATCGTGTTAAGTGGAGTGAAGACTTCAAAAATCTTAAAACATGTGGTACTTAAAAATTCTGAAGTACCGTGATGTAAACAAAGCCCAACATAAATGTTGCATTATTTGAAATGCACCACTGACCTAAGCTTTACATATTTTTCTTCACACATTTCAAGCAGTAAAAAAAATAATTTGCATAAAAGCAAAGGTTTGCCGTACACATCCACCACATTACAATCTTAAATTATTTAGACTCTTAAAAAAGCAATGAGACTGTACCTTCACCAAGCCGAATTGAGATAATTGTGAATTAAGGTAAAAAAAACCCTCATGACTATTATTGTTGTATTATTTTAGATGGTAATTGTTCCGATATTGCAAGCTGCCCCAATTTGGTGGTGTACAACAAAACCTCCCCCCCATCCAAATTCCCAACATAATCCCGACGTCGCAGGATCGTGTGAAATTACGAGAACTGCGTGGGCGGGAGGGGCTTCATCCAGCGGTGGATTGATCACGACTCAAGCGTCGCGAAGTGAAGAGCGCAGAGTGTGGTCGAAATGACTCGGGACGGTTCGATTAAACGTTGACAATTCAACTCGGCAATCCAGTTTCTCACGAGGTGGACGGCAGCGGCTCTCGCGGCTGCACGAGTGACACTAATACGCCTTTTAATCCGACGCACCGACGTCCACGCACGCGCAATTCCGTGCATGTATCATGAGGTCAAGAATCGACGTTGATAAAAGAATCAACGCATTTTTTCCACCCCCCCCCCCCCCCCCAAGTGCATAGCATTAAACATAACAGACACACCGGGAGGTACGCAAAGTTTTACCCGTAATAATCTCAACCTACCTTATCCGAGTATGAACACAATCAGCACTGAAACCCACTTCAGTAGTATCAATCATTTGCATGCAACCCTATCACTAAGTGAGAAACACACAACTCTGCATGCCATTAGGCGCTTGCACGGTATAAACGTGCAAGCGAGATTCACTTAATAAAAGGCCACGTTTAATTATTGTTACAAAGCGGGGAAAAAAGCTGCAAGAGCTGCCCCGATGCGTTTTCAGGTTGTATCGCGTGTTTGTCCGGCACGAAGAGCAGCAAAATTGTCAGATATCGTGCCAAACAACAACACGCGGTACAACTCGCAAGCACAGCGGAGAGATGTACAGCGTAACCTGGGAAACATCTGCGTAGCAATAAGGCAACAAGAGTGCTTCAGAAAAAAAGTAAAAGGTTTTAAATGCAGTTAAATTCCGACCACAATTTAAAAACCATACGTAAAATTAAGTGGGTGCTTTTTTTACACGGGCATATCATTTGGTGTTTTCATTCAAGAAAAGTTTCCTTTGGCATTCTTTGGCTCCTTGTCGCACTCTCTCGTCGGAGTTGGCGTCAGCGTTTCGCTTCCAGCTCTCTTTGAATGGAGTCAGCCCTGGGGCCACCACTTCTCCATCCTGTAACAACATCAACTCAGTTGCACGATTCGTACGTAGTTTGTTGTCCTCCCCGCCCCCCCCCCCCCCCCCCCCACCCCCACCTCTGATTAGCACGGTTGGCTACGTATGGTGCAAAATAAGTTCAACATACATACAAATACGGGACGAAAACATAGGTCTATCATTTTATTGGCATGACTTGTATTCCATTTGGTGCGGAGGTGACGAGATGTTAACTAACTCGCCAGGTATACAGGAGGTCTTGTGTTCGATCCCAAATCTGACACCACCTGCTGTATATTTGGAGTTTGAATCTTGTCCCCGTGGTCATGTGGATTTTTCTCCGAGTCCTCCGGTTTTTCGCTCCAAATTTAGAAACACGCATTTAGAGTATTGGGCTGCTATAAATTTAAATATGATAAGCAACTACCATTGGGCTATCATTTGTGGCCAGATCGCTTATGAAAAAAAACTGTATAAAATAAGAAATTGTTTAGTAAAGAGCATTGTTGCGCTATGATAGTTTTCTTTATCAAAGTCTAATGAGTGTCCCTCGTGTATGCGGAGGCATCAGACCTGAGGCATGATGAACTTCTTGTCCAGACACCACTGCACGAAGTACTGCTTGGCAGCTTTGAGGTATTCCGGCTCCAGTTTCCTGATGTAAACGCGAATGTGCTGCTCCTGAAATATTTCCGGCAGCATCTTTGACACCTGCAGGGAAAAAAAGGCCATGACCTTGTTTGGTTCTATTCGGTACGTAGGTAAAAAAATAAAACAACAAAATCACGACGTTTCGGCCACAACCAAAGCGGCCTTCATCAGGTGAAGGGACCAGACTGTCTCGAGGACAGCGCTGGAGTGTCCTCGACACAGTCTGGTCCCTTCACCTGATGAAGGCCGCTTGTGTTGTGGCCGAAACGTCGTGATTTTTGTTGTTTTATTTTTTTATCCACGTGACTTTACCGAATAGAACCAAAGAGTATGGATCCTTGCAGTCACGAAAGCTTCAAATCTAGAAATGACCTTAAATTTTGATTTAAAGCTTTCGTGACTGCAGCAATTCATATTCTTAGCTCTTTCGGTAAAGTCACGTTGAAGGGAAACAATAAAATAATAAAATATATATAAAACAATAAAAATTCTCACGACGTTTCGACCATAACACAAACGGTCGTCATCAGGTGTGAAAAAACCAACGGCAAGGAACATTTGTTGTTTTTATTGTTTTATATATATTTTATTATTTTATTGTTTCCCTTCAACGTGACTTTACCGAAAGAGCTAAGAATAGAAATGACCTTGTTTGTTTGTTTGTACCGGTTCCGTATCGTTAATCGCACAAGTTCTCTCTCGTCATCGTCGTGCAAGGAGCGACTGCTCTCAAGGCAACAACAATGTCAGTTGCGTAGCTTCTGCGGCTCCCAGCTATTAAGATTATCTGGCTGCCATAATTTTCCACGCGCCACTTCGTTGAGCTATCACTTGTGGCCAGGTCGCTTCCTAAAAAAAAAAGCTATATAGTTCAGGGGAGCCTTACCTGGTAAAATAAAAAATAAAAACAGTTCAATACTTTAGTACTACCGTCGCAAATAAACTGTACATTAGGTCAATCTATATTAATAGCAAGGGACAAAGAGTTACTTATTTAAGTCTGAGCAGAGCTTGAGAGAGCCAATGCAGTTGACCACAGTGTTATGATGACGTAACGTTCTGCCCCTTTGTCAATCCACTGCTGGAATAAAGGCATCTGCCCCATGCAGTGCCGCCCATGGGAATTCGTTTGCTTGTACTTCACCATGAGCATCGGTGCCGGTTGGCGAACGGTTCACGATTTAAGGTTATTCTACCTAACCAGGTTGATAACTCAAGAGACCAGGATCGGTCTCACTTGTAACAATGACCTGGGTATTTGCAAAGTTCTGGGAGAACACACAAACTCCAAATATACCGCAGGGATCGTCCGGGTCGCGATCGAACCCACGACCTCCTGCATAGCAGGCGAGGGAGACAACACCTGGCCGTCACTGTGCTAATGCTCGCACTCGCCTGTGTCCTGCAGATTCTGAACGGCTTGTCGGGATCCTCCTTGCAGTAGAACCACACATTGTTGATGGGGTTCTTCTCCTTCATTCCGTAGTCCAAGTTAATAACCTGCAAGGGCACAACGTCACAACGCTCGCTCTCGCTTCAGCCGAGATTCAAATGTGACGACGCAGCACAAAAATGAAACACTCAACGCAACACCTAGTGAATAATAGTTAAAAAAAGCAAAAAGCGATTTATCGCAGTAATTTAATCATTTCACAACTTTGTAACGCGCCGCTCAGTTATTCGCTCATTTTCGTAGCGAGAGAACGACTCTAGCGGCGCGAGGGGGAGCGGCCACAGACAAGCAAGACGGCAGCCACACAATGAGCTGGCACCAACCATTGCCCAAGCTCTGCTGCGGTCCCTCTATACATCAAGGTGTTATCGGCCACTTGATGAGTGTTTACATGCGGGATAAAACCACAGCAGCCGGAGAAAACCCACGTGTGCTCTGGGGAAACGATCTCATACAGGCGATACGGGTGGAGTTCACATTTCTGCTGTACTGCCTTCTCCTGGCGGGCCAGGGTATGGCACACCTCAATACCCCACGGGCAAGGGCGTTGGATAAAACTTCTTCAATCCACCAACCCTGACCCACCCACAGCGCGAGATTAGAGGCGTGCGGCACCACCGCCCAGCTAATCTACTGCTGGATGAAGGCCTCCCCCAGGATATCTCAATCATGGGTTTCATTTGTTTGTGGGGGGGGGGGGGTTATCAAACTTCAACGTGCTGGTGAATGCAAGTCGGCCGGGGGTGGAGAGGGGAGGACTGGTTCCGATATGGCTCGGCAATGATGAAGCCGTGGCCAGGAATTGAAATCGATTTGTCAGGTTTGTAGCATAGTGTGCTAACCACTGCATCACCACTCCACCCCAATACATAATATAATAACATTATATGGACCGAAACAGGAGGATTTCTCCACAACTCTGGCTTTCGCCTGATGAGGCTGGTTGTAATTACGGGCGAAACGTCATGGTAATCGATTTGTAAATGTTGTGCATTTACTCTCCAACACACCGTGCGCTGAACCAGTTAAGAATTAGCATGTTTTATTTACGTGACAAACCTTGCTAACTGGCTGTGTCGGGTGGTGGCGGGTTTAACGACACATTTATATTTACGCAATATAACCCAAAAACCTCTATTATGGATTATATTGGTTGCGAAAGCTTACGTGTTAAACTCATAAAAGCCTCACTAAGATTCACATTTATATTTTAAGAGAATCCTGCATCAGGATGTTAGCCAATACCATTACTGAATGTTTGGTGTGGGACGAAATTAGAGTAACCAAAGATAACCCACACATGATAAATGACACTCAAATCTCCAAACAAACAGATCAATCCATTGCCGTACTGCCAACTTCTAGCCACCTGCAATGGACATGTGTAATGATTAACAACGGTGGTCTCAATACAATGGCAATACAACAAAGTATAAACCCACTCACATTTTCATCATCATTACTAGAATACCATTATAACCAATAGAGTAATCATTACTGGAGTAACCATCACCATTATTAAAGAAAGTGAGCCACTTACATGCACCACAAAGTCCTCTGGGTTTAACTTGACATTGAGTGGCATCTCCGGTTCCGAGTTAGCAATCTCCTTCGCCAGTTTGACCTCATCCTGCAAGGACGAGGTCACCAACACAGGCGCGTCAGACCAGACGATTAAACCCACATGTACACAAACGATGCACAATTCAAGTCCACGCGTCGCAACAATACCCACAATTCGACGATATTTAGCAATCCAAGAGATACAATTAAACGTGAACATCATAGGCTCACAGAATATATTGAAGCGTATAACATTATTAATACATTTAATATTGTTTCACTGGGAAATATTTTCTTTATGGTACTTAAAAAAAATCGTCTCTACGCAGACAATGGATCACTCTTTTTTATAAGATACCACCACACTGTAACATGGTTACCCAGAATGCAATGTGGCAGAATTACTTGTTTTATTTAACTTTTAACAGATGGGTTTGTGCAGGAATACATTGTGTATTTTTTTTAAAGGTTCGTATGTTACTCATTATGTACTCAGAAGTAACTAATTGTGAACCAATTTAACCGCTCATCTGGATATTGTTTTAACAATTAAATTCTTATCGGAGCCCCATTGTGGAACAGTGCGGTCTCAAACTCGTAGTCTGTCGCTCTGGGCCTCTGTTGTGATATGAAAAAAGGGCACTGCATGATACATCACCTATATATTTTTTTCCCCTCCTTTCAAGGCATTGTAATTGACAAATGTACTCCCTTCCCTCTCAGCCTCCGGCTGGTTACCCCCTGGTATTTAAAGGACTAATTCCTTGTTGATTATTTGAGTCAACCTCCTTTACAATCCATAGTCTATCCACTTTTAGGTTACGTACAATTCAGCTCAGTCAAAAAAACAAATCACAAAACTCTTGACGTCTCTGCAAAGCAACAAATATACCTGATCTGTAGTCTGGCTGCTTCAGGAAGAGGGCGCTGGATTTTCAAAAAAGCCGGATAATTAATTACATCATTATTTAAAATTGGTTATTTTTGCACATTATTGCATGACATTGTGCTTTTTGGGTGGTGTTATATATATTTTTAGTATACTCTGGTTCTTTCGGTAAAGTCGGTAAAAAAATATTTCTTAGTGTTTTAAATTTGTTTACTCGATGAAATTGGCACAGATAAATATACAAACGTACAAAAATGAATATCCTGTAAAAAGTTACTGATTTACTGTACCATAATTACTACTCCAATCTCGAAGACTCGGCATGGGGTGATGCATGTCGTGCAGTATTTTTATTGTTTAAGTTGTATGTAGTGTATAATGTACTGCATATAATATTTTACGCTAAATGTAAGTATTAGCTACTTTTATTGTCACGCACATGGTTCCAACCGTGGGCCTGGTAACGGCCTTTGGAGCGGTTTCGCCGGATCGGCCCGAGACTGCCGGATAATGTTGGAAGCAGCCGGATAATCGCGTGCCTGATTATCGATGATCAGTCCAGTTAATCTTTAAGTCAAATCTCAAGCGCATTTCATCACATGGGTCCGCAGGGGGCCCTTTCTTGCGCACTTACAAGAGGGTTCTTCCCTTCCCCGGGCTGCGTGTGATTCACAAACTTGTAGAGGCGCCGGCAAACCACGTTCTCCAGGATGACCCTGGCCTCCTTCAAATTGGGGTCGCGCGAGTGCAGGATCTCGTAAAAAATCAGGTCTGAAACGCACGGACACCAAAAAAGAAATCGCCCTTTTTAAATCAGCCCAAGTGATTAACGCCGAGAAAATTACACCAGAGATATTTTTGGTCAGCAATGCGAGTGAAGCTTGTTTATTTTGTTGCTAAGTTTACAAGGGGGGAGATGTGTGGTGCGTGAGCACAGCAACAACACATTTGGTAAAAAAAAAAAAATTCAATGCTCACACAAAAGTAGAAAAAAATGTATTTTGACCCCAGAATTAATACAATTTGATGTGCTGAATAAAAGTGGGTGGCTTGCATAAAAGCAAATGAAACATCGAAAGGAAAAATAAATAATGAAACATTTTCAAGTGGGTGGATTGCTTCCAGAAAATGTAACGTACCGAAAGGAAACCACCCACTTTTATTCAGCACGTCAAATGTGATTTATTCTGGGCTCCAAAGAATGTATTCCTACTTTTGAGTACAAATAAAAGTGCGTGCATTGAAAAACTAGTTTTTACCTAATTTATCTTCACGTTAATGTTGTCAAAATTATGTGTACATGTACATATTCATTCGAAGATCTCAATACAGACAATAACAAAAGTTCATTATTTTCTGGATAATTCTAATATATTTGAAATGGTGCAATAAAAAAATTAGAAAAAAAGCTTTGAGGCTCAGTATTCATGCGAGAATATGACGGGTCTGTGTCTACAACATTTCAGCTCATTAGGATTCATAGATCTGAAGATATTAAGTGTCCAATATTTAAAAGAATATAAACGGACAATGGGGCAAGTTAAAATAAAAGTGTGTAATAATAAAAACAAAGACAAGCACGTCAATATTGCACATAACACGCACAGGGTGCCCTAATAAACATTTCACAACTAACAATCGATCGCCAGCAGCCACCGCTGTGTGCGGCCCCAACCTGTGAGCTTTGTGTAGGCCACCATGTCGTCAATCGCCCCGGAAATGGAGAACATCTTGCCGCCAGATCCCTCGATCTTGATGTACTTATCTGCCTTGAGGAAAGCCTCCTTGATCCTTGGAGGGAGCATACCGACGAAAGAGCACGCAATTAACGGAAGTAAAAAATATATATATACATGTATTAATAAATCATGCGTCGAGTCGCGTTTGGCCTGTAGTCTTTCACTTGCGCTGAATGCGCAGCACCTTATCTTTAGTCCGGATTGCGAGTGCTCGTGATTTGACATTGGCGAGTGATATCTAAACGGGTCCCTGACCCTCCCCACTTCACCAACCAGCATTGACCAGCGTGGTGAAGTCTGGTCAAATAACATCCGTGATCAATATGGCGTGGGCAAACCTTCATGAAGCAGTGAACTGGACAAAGGGTTGAATATTTTATTTTACTCGACAATATATTACTGTTCTTAGTTTTTTTGGTAAAGTCACGTTGAAGGGAAACAACAAAATAATAAAATATATATAAAACAATAAAATTTCTCACGACGTTTCGACCATAACTCAAACGGTCGTCTTCAGGTGTGTTGGTTTGCATAAATTTATTTTTAAACGGCGCATTTATTTATTTATAAAAACGTTAGCACCACGTGCAACGATTTGGCAGTTTATTTAGGACTAGTCCATCTATATTCTGAAAAGAGGAGGGGGGAGACAAAATTTTTATAATGTATGCTGTCTGAAAGCCACTGTAAGCGTGAACAATCAATTAAGACCTGAAATGGTTTATCAAATCTTTCCAATGATTGCTAAGATAGAATCCATCTTCTCGGTTGAAATTGTCTCTGTGCTTGTATATGTGGATAGCCTCATGAACGAATCTCTCATGGAAGCCAGATGGCTTACAAAGAACCTCTTTCTTGGAAAAGTCAATGGCATGTGAGCCTACTGAATTAGAACAATGATCTGCCACGGCCGAGGTGTTGGTCCTACCGTGTTTAAGGTCTGCTTTGTGTTCACGAATGCGGTCCGAGACATGGCGTTTGGTTTCTCCAATGTAACTACTACCAGAGGCAACTTAGTTTGTAGACACCAGGGTATTGTATGTCCGGAATCATGAGGCTATCCACATATCCACATATACAAGCACAGAGAAAATTTCAACCGAGAAGATGGATTCTATCTTAGCAATCATTGGAAAGATTTGATAAACCATTTCAGGTCTTAATTGATTGTTCACACTTACAGTGGCTTTCAGACAGCATACATTATAAAAAAATTTAGTCTCCCCCCTCCTCTTTTCAGAATATAGATGGACTAGTCCTAAATAAACTGCCAAATCGTTGCGCGTGGCGCTAACGTTTTTATAAATAAATAAATGCGCCGTTTCAAAATACATTTATGCAAACCAACACACCTGAAGACGACCGTTTGAGTTATGGTCGAAACGTCGTGAGAAATTTTATTGTTTTATATATATTTTATTATTTTGTTGTTTCCCTTCAACGTGACTTTACCGAAAAAACTAAGAATATGAATTACTGCAGTCACGAAAGCTTTAAATCAAAATATATTACTGGTTTAACCATTTCATTTGTAAAGAGTAAAGTTAGTCTTTAAATAATTTTCTGGTGTTCCCATCCTCAAACAAGCAATAGAGTAATGGGAATGATCTATGTTATCAATTTTGAGCCAATGGGGGGAAAATTCATATTCCTGCAGTGGACACAGGTTGCTGCATAGGTGGGACCACTATGGACCTTTCCAAAAAGTGGTACGAATTTTATTGACCCTGGAATATTTGACCCGCCCCCCTCCTGCCCCACGAAGTTGAAAACTATGATACGACCCAAGTGCTGTGCAGCGAGTTTCCGCTGATGTGTCAGGCACGAGTCAGAGGCACGCAAGTACACGTGTGTGTGAAGAGTGCGTTTGAGCAAGTCAGTGATGCGCGAGTAATAGTGCGTGCGTGCGCGCAAGTACTGGTGCGTGTGTGTGCACGAGTGGGCTGCAGGGGGCGCTGCGTACATGAGTTCGATGATGTTGCCCACTCGGTGCTGGTACGCGCGGCGGTGCAGGCAGTTGCGCGTGTGGAACATGTCGTAGAGGTTGCCCACCTCCTGCGGTGGCGAGCACAACAAAGTCGGCGTGGGTAAGTCACGCGGAGCCCAACCCCTCTCACCGCACTCACCCCCCCTCACGTCTCCAACGCACATCCCTGCATCTCTCCACGTGGCTAGCAAACGCTTGCTAAGCTGTCGCCGCTCTGAGTGTTGCCGCGGGAAGGCAGAAGTGTGAGTGTGGCAGAGAAGTCGTTTGTGCATGTAAAGGGTGCGTGTTTGTGATGCGCCGTCCTCCCACCGTATATATATATATTTTTTTATCACAGCTAAAAAGCACAGCTCCGACAGAAAAACTCCCACCTCGTCCGAGACGTATGACCAACGTGGAAGAGTAGACACACTGCCCTCAAGAGCACGGGTCGACAAACCGGCAGCTCCAGAGCCACATGCAGTTCTTTGGCTCCCCCGTGACAGGGCAGCTGTTTTTTTTTACTTCATCTACTTTATTCGTTTTTTTTACACTATAAACCAGGGGTCGGCAACTTGCGGCTTCGGACCTGCATGCGGCGGGCTCTTTCGGGACTTGCTTCGTGACGTTATTTATGAAGGACCCACCGTCTCGTATTCACGTGCATTGCGGCTCTTGAAAATTTTATTTTTTCCGAATTAGAACAAAAATGGCTCTTCTTGTTATTTTGGTTGCTGACCTCCCCCCTCCCCCCCCCCCCATGCTCTAGAGCGTCCTGTAACGGAGGCCCGTCGGCCAGCAGCAGTGATGAGCAAGTAATTTTACACGTAGGCTTTGACGTCGGGCATCTCACCTTGTTTCGGAAGCAAATCACTTTTTTCGTCCTTTCATTTTCGACCTCACAGACGCGCACAAACTCGATGAAGCGCCTGTGGTCGAAGTTGTTCTGAATTCCGAGGTGGTGGCAGTCCCTGTGGAGGGAAATAAACGTTCCTGGGTTACACAATTGGCAAATGAATGTAAATTGCCACCTCGGGCATGGCCTTATCATATGAGTTATAAAGAAAAGCGAAATTACTAAGTGGGGTGGAGTGGTGGCGCAGTGGTTATCAAATGCTAACATCTATGATCTGTTTTGGGATTTTTGGCCACGGCTAACCATCAGTGATGGGTGATATCCAAACTGGTTCTGAAGAGTACCACTCCTCACAAATCCGCAGTGACTATGGTGGTGAAGTAAAGCCAAACAACCCCGATCAGTGATAAGGGCACGGGAAGGCGTTAACCAGCAGTGGATTGAGGGACCACTGTAAATTTATCTCGTAATTGCATTCACGACTGAGTTAAGTTCCCAAGAACGAGAGTTGTCAAATAGCGTCAGGGAAAGAATGTTACTCAAATATGAGCCTCTAACAATTTTCTCCCCTAAAAATGCAAAAAGAATGTACCAATTGAGGTTTAAAATACAAATCCTCGCAGCCTCTCGTGGTTGGAGGGGTCACGTGAACGCATTTCATACAATGGTACGTGAATTTAAAAGCGTCAATTCTCAGACGAGTGATTCGATGCATGTATCCTTAAGTTAGGAATCGATATTGTTGGATCGATGCATTCTCACGCCCCTAGCAACACGCAGCAGAAACGCAAGTTAATTATTTGGCATTGCTGCCGCTGCTGCTGCTACTTTGGCAGTGGCCCACTAAGCACAAATCGACACATTCGTCATGAACACTGTGTGGCCTTAAGAACGACTACATCATAGGCGACGTTTAGGGCAATAGCCCTTCTTCACAGCACAGTGAGAGGCCAGAGAGGCAGAGTTGAAGAAACGTACATGAATCCATGTTTTTTTATGCTTTCCAACAAATATTGTGATTGTGATTATTACACTTTCTTAAGCCTCACCGAGCCTCATGACTATTGTCGAGGGGCATCTTGCCAAGTTTTCAGACTCAAGTTGAAAGTGTCTCAAGGTGGCTTCATGCCGGTGAAGACAACAAGGATGCGGCGTCGAATTAAACTCGAGTCGAAAAGCGTTACGCAATTCGTGCGCATTCATTTTTCCTCACTTGTGTAAGGTAGCAAGCGTAATAACAGAGAGTTTGTGGATTCGCTGCCCACCAATTACCCACAAAAGAACGTATTTCAACGTAAACAGTCGCTAAATTACGTGTTAAAAAATCTCAAATTGCCACGCCGCGCAACGGAAGGTTAGGATGCGACATGAGCACCTGGCAAAGTAGTCCCACTTGTCCACATCTATGCCATTGCTCTTGTTTGCAACAATCTCGTACAGGAATCCCTTGTCCTTGGTCCTGCCCTTGTACGGCCACTTTTGGAAAAACAAAAAACAGGATTTGTAAACCATTCAACATGGGGAGGGGGCAGGTGTACAGAGATTTTGCATCGTTTGAAGAATACAGCTCGAGGCAACGTTATCCCACAAAATGCCTATGAGACAATCACCCCAAATGGATCTGACCTTGTAGGATTTTTAGAAGCTAAGGCGGGAGAGCCTGGTTAGTCGTTGGGCGGGAGACCATCAGTGCCCAACGGGTGTTGTGGGCATCGGGCCGTGGAGTGGCCAGAATGTGGCTCAGCAGCAACTCGACGGGGTAATTAGGGTCACTTGAAGGTTTTTGGAGAATACCTGTACACATCTTATCCACAGCCACTCTCTTTTTCAAGGGCCACACTTCTCTGCAAGACTTCCCAATGGATTATATTATCTGTCGAATGGCTCAATGTCGATGGCACAAATTGGGAGTAAATGGTGCAACAAAAAAAGACACGGAAAAATACATCGTACAAAATTGTATACTTTCATTAACCAACGTAAAAAGTTTCTCCCTGCTCAGGCAATCAATGAGGAGGTATTCACCTCTATTGGTGGTTCTGAGCCAATGGTGGAAATGCCACATTCCATGGTGGGCGTCAGTCTCCCAACATAACCAATCAATGTTGACTTCCAAAGCAAATATCACTAATCTTAAGCTACTCAATGAAACAAGAATTTGTGAACTCTGATGCTGAAGCAGACTACTGCACACCCCGTGGACGGCAAGAAGCACCAATTAAAGTGAACTACGACAGGAGGCTGTTGAAAGAGCTAGACCGTACACCGGAATAAATGAAGGAGACTAAAGTGTATTGGATGCCTGGCTACAGGCGTATTGGATAACACTTGGGAGAAACTGCCGATTGGCAAAGTGGAAGAAAAGGTTGAGAAAGACTAAGATGGACAGATGGTCTTTGACACAATCAGAGGAAGCCCTTCATGCGAGTGTGGAAATTCAGCGGAGGCCAGTGAAGACATCATTCAGCTCGCCCTAGGGCTATACATGTTCACTACTTTGTGCACAAAGCTATATGTGCAAGAAGAACAGGGCGTTATAGCAAAGATGAAAATCACGGCAAAGTAGTTTCATAATCGAGGTTTCAAATACGCCACAATGAGTAGCAGAACAGAGTGAGAGGAAGCATGGATATAGGCCGAGTCATCCCTCGACCAGAATTTTCAATCGCAACCCTCCGATTACGGGCTGAGCACTTGAACCAAAGCGCCACTACACAAACCCTTCGATATCGACTCACGTCTTCTTTTGCCTGCACCTGCTGGCCACCCTCCCGGTCTACGTGCGGCGATTTGGCAAAGCAGTTATTGACGCCACTACCAGGCCCCGAGCTATCGGCGATGTCAGCCAGGGGCCCAGCAATCTGCTCTTTGATGAAGTCCAGGTCTTCCGGCAACTTAAGGCCATACTCCTTGCTCAGAACCTCCTCCAGGCCGTTGGCCTGGACTAGGTGGTCAAACATCTGCACGGAGGCCACCTCGTGCTGAAGGAGACACGGACAAGCAATGAGTTGTGTGCGGCCGTGGTAAACCAGGCGATGATTAACAATCGGTACAGATGTGTGTGATTAATATGTTTAGGCTTCACGTCAGTATGATTAGATGGATGTCCATAACCATTAGGCTTACAATCAGTACAATAAAATGTATTATCAGTAAAACTGATTAATTATCAGTATAACTAAGACATTTCCTAAAGGCCATTCAGCTGAAATGTTAAGATCTTCCTTTTTTGCTTTTATTGACAGTAAAAATACAATTTGATCTGTTATTTGACAGATGAGTTCACAAACGAAGCAATACTATAAGTACAGACTTATGAACAGCCCACTTACTCATCACCAGCAATAATATGGATCGATACTAGTTATAATGAGTTACAGATTTACGATTAGTGAAATTAAACGAACGACCACAATTAACTCATTACGAGTGCTGATGGGGTTCTAAGTGACAGTCCTCTTGTCACAGAAAATAATCTGATGGTATTACAAATTCTAGCACATTGGGAGACACCAGTTGCATGAGTTATGCTACCATAAAGCATCTAAATATTATAACAATACTGCACGTGAGGTGTCACTGACAACAAGAATATTGAAAACTTGTCAAAGGTATCACCTTCCATTTGCATCCGGGGCGAGCAGCAGGGATGAAGCTGTTATCAAACATGTGGGAAAATGGGCCGTGTCCTAAACAAAGACAAAGGTAAAGATACCCCGTAAGCCCCTGACAGAATGTTGGGGTGAGTGCTGTTATGAAGGCCGGCATGGGCACATGAGGGGGTGGGTGGCCAGCACCATGCCCGACCTCCAATTGGTGATGTGTACACACAGCACCATGTACTCATTTCAGGCTGCTTAACCTAGAGGAGGCCTAGGATCGGTTCAAATATCTGCCACTGTTAGTTAATCGTGAGTGAGATATCGAAATGTTAAGATCTTCCTTTTTGCTTTTGTTGACAGTAAAAATACAATTTGATCTGTTATTTGACAGATGAGTTCACAAACGAAGCAATACTATAAGTACAGACTTATGAACAGCCCACTTACTCATCACCAGCAATAATATGGATCGATACTAGTTATAATGAGTTACAGATTTACGATTAGTGAAATTAAACGAACGACCTGTTTGCCAGGTTCGTAGCGTGCTAACCACTATACTACCACTCCTCACTACCCTAAACACACAACAGCACATCAAACATTAAACCGGATTCTGCGGCAGCTGCGAGGGCATTGCAACACACTATTTCCGAGTCTCATGAATATTCTTCAGCAGGTTTCACCGAGTTGTCGCTGGAAGGGCCGATGATTGTTATCTAGATTTTTACTGAGTAATTTACAGATACAGTTTTCAAATTTGGATCATGACGCTAGCACACAATGGCCGACAGTCTGCGAACAATGTCAAAGAATCATTAGCATCCCCTGTGATGCAGACCCCTCGTATTTTGAACATTAATTCACTCACTATTAACCAGGGCAGCTGCTGGATACGAAACCGTGAGTCTTTGTAACACAAGCAGCGGACGTAATAATCATGACAATAACCTAAAGCCGAACAAAGGTGTCCCTTTGGCAAAGATAAAAAATGTTGTATCCACAGCCAGAGTCATTTCACTGCTGTAAGGATTTGTTGCCGGTCATGGAGTACGTGTGACCGTTCCCACCAAACTGGTCAGTCTGGGTTTGCGAGGGTGGGGGAGGGGAGGCCAGGATGGGTTCAATGTCACTCGCCATTGTCCTCGGCTATGGGCAGGAATTGAACTCGGACCGTTGGGTTTACAGTGCAGTGAACAAAATCAGAATATGTATTTACACTGGAGGATTCCGATGAGCTATGAAGCTTTTTTTCAAAGATATCGAGTTGGGGCGGGTAAGAACGTTACAACAAGAAACAATACAAAAACATAAGAGTATTGCAAAGTACAAGATCGGTAAATAAATCGCCCAAACACATACAGATAAAACTAAACAATCCCCATCCTACCAGGCAAAGCTCACCGAGGTATTAACTTATTTTTCAGAAACGACCTGGCCACAAATAATAGCTCAACACAGTGGCCCATCATTTGGACATTTATAGCAGCCAAAATAATCGAAATAATCTCAATGCACGTTTCCAAATGTGGAGGGAAAAAACCGGAGGACCTGGAGGAAAAAAAATCCACACGACCACGGGGGGTAGAACAGCCACTGAAACACCAACCGCTCTTCCGCGTGCGTCCCTTTAAGGAGCCGCTTTCGTGACGTTATTCATTGAGGAGGGCCGTCTCGTATTCACGTGTATCGCAGCTTTTGAAATGCTGATTTTTTTTGTTTTACCGAATAAAAAAAAAAAAGACGACTCCTCTTTTTATTTTGCTTGCCGACTCCTGGTCTACTCAATGACAAACCGTGGAATGTTCGCCAACTCTTAGACTGTGCCTATAATGTAGTCATTCTCTTTGTCTAAAGCATGAAAACATTTTGTCACTCTTAATTCAATTTTGGTGAGAAAATGTTGCGCACACAAATGAAGCGAATTACCGCCCTTGGTAATCGACACGCTTCACGATTTCCATCCACCCGCCAGTCATCGACGTTTGCTGGCGAAAACTCAAACACGGCCGTGGGCAGACGCGCCTCCTCACCCAGGTCGTGGCAGAGTCCCGCAATCTGCACACACAGCACGTCCCTCTCGTTGATGCCCAGCTCGGGCTGCCTGCTCTGGATGGCCGTGGCGAGCTGCCCCGCCAGGTAACCCACCCTGCCGGCGAACAAAGCGGGGGGGGGGGGGGGGGAGGAGCAACACAATGCACCACGGACCCGGCGGTGTTTTGCAGGGGGCCAAACGTTCGCGTGCACGCGGGGTCGGAGCTCTCGGTGATACCACGACCGACAGCCCCGAAGCGACTGCGCAGTAAACCTCCCCCCCCCCCCCCCCCCCACGAGTTACCGATGGAGAAAGAGCGACTCAGCGTTTCGGGCGCGGGACGTAAATTGGACACATTCATGCTGGGGGCTGTGCCGAGCCAGCCCGGCACGGCTCGGGAGGTGCCAGGAAGTTTGAGCTGTACCCTGGACGTGAGACGCAATGGACGAGTCGAGACACGTCAAGATGACACGGTGTCCTCAAAGCACACCTATCCAATGTCAAGTGCAACTAAAGTGTTACTGTAGCCTCACTCCTGAGCCCTGCTTTGCACCAGAACCAGTTTCATACGCCGGGGCAGTGGTGGCTGTGCATGTCGGTGGATCGCACGAAAGTCATTAAACTCCCTTCCCATCTGAACGGGGATAGAGTGTTGCCCCCTCGTACGCGTGTGAGTTTTCTCAAGGTTTTCCAGTTATCTCCCACATGTATACACGCACATGAATTTCCCTCCACCTCGGTGTGGCTTTCCTGGTTAAATAAGTACATTTAAATTTTCAAAGTCTCGTGAGGCCAGAGTTTCCTAGTTTGTTTCGGCTCTGCATGGCATGTAGACAAGTGGAATACCATCGTACCACGAGGGCCCTCCATTGGCTCGGCTCAGATGTGCCAGTGGAAAATGTTCTATGAGCATCCAGCTCTGCTGTATGTATGTTGAACTTATTTTCCACCTTATGTAGCCAACCGTGCTAATCGGAGTTGTGGGGGAAGGACAACAAACTAAACACAAAAAGCAGTTCTACAGAAATTAGTTTTAAATCTAGATTTAAAAGTGCATAGCTCCAGCGGCTTGATAATATGGTGATAATGATGAGATTGTGATGATGATATGGTAATGATGATGATGTGGTAATGGTATATATGTACGTATGTTGAACTTCTTTCGCACCATACGTAGCCAACCGTGCTAACCGGAGGTGTGGCGGAAGGACCCGTAAAGGGACAACCCACCCCATGGAGTGCTCGAAGCGGTTGTGCGAGGCTCCAGGGAACACCCAGTAGGTGCCACCCAGCTGCTTGATGTTGCGGAGGCGCTGGAACTGCGGGGTGTCGATGATTCTCACGAGCAAGGGGTGCATCACAATGTGCCCGTGGATGGGGTCATTGAACACCTGTCGAAGGTGAACGTGCGCACAGGCGTCCCCCGCGTTAATGACGCGAGTACCAACGCTTGCGTTACAGAGTTTGGAGTAAGAATGGAAATTGGTGAGAAGACAACGATGATGATGATGACGATGCATGAAAAAAAACGGTTGTACTTGCCTTCATGTTTTGCTTGGAATCCTGGCACATGATCTTCAAAACTTGAAAAACTTTCAGCTGATTTCCCAGTTTCCTGCCAGTGGAAATAAGGAGGATTGCAATTTCACATTATTATTTTTTTATTACGGTCGGGATGATGGCGCTAATCCTGCAGAACTTCCAATACCCAATTCGGCTTGCTTGCAACATACATTTTACATGATACGAGTCCAACTTCACAATACGTGTATTATCGCGATATGAGTATCGCATAACTTGTTATTTCATAAAAATTCGAATTAGAAAATACAATTTCTTAAATGAGTAACGACAATCACAATATGACAACATATTTAAAAACGAGACGACCTGATAATCGTGAATATTATATCGTAGTATTGCCATGACCAACGGAAGCGAATTCTGCCATTTGGAACCAATGTGGTTTCCGATGAGCACGGTTGGCTTCGTAACAGTGTGAAAGAAGTTCAACATACATACGTACGTAACATATATACAAAATAAGGACCATGCCTAAGAGTCCGTTCACAGTGGGAACAGAGCGATGTAATCAGCTCGTGTGCAGAAGCCAGATGGATGACTATCTCCCGAGACCATGGGGTGGCAACAACAGGAAAGTCTTTATTCAAGCAGATCGTGGCCGATTACAAGGGCTTTTGCCATTGGCCGTCGTTTACATGCGTGTGCTGCAAGTCGAAACACGTGCACAAAACCGTCTGCACATTTTTCTTCACCGAGTCCACACTGTGAACCGACTGTCGCGTAGCAAATGTTGATATTGAAACAGATTCCTAAGAACTAATATCACTGCCAACGGCTATTTGGGGCCTCGAATATATGAAATGCATTTTATAGCAACGACGTGTACAAACGTCTTCTTTTTACTGCACGTATGCAAAGCACAATACAGTTCCTGTGCAGTATGTATACTGGCCAACTATGTACTGCTGAACGAATACTTGGTTAGGATACAACTATTCGACGTTTACCGAGTGGTGTGCAGTCAGCTTGAAAATAACGGACACCTCAACTCCTAATTTGTAGTCTATGTTGTATGCGCTGTATGCTGTATGTATGTAGCCAACCGTGCTAATCGGTGGTGCAGGAGAAGGACCACAAACTAAACTCAAGAAGCAGTTCTAAATAAATTCGTTTTCAATTTAGATTTAAAAGTGCATCGCCTACTGGTGCGTTCATTCCTAACGTCCCAGCATTACCTGTAGGTAATGCTGCAAGCGACGACACCCCATATACTGTGAACAATTTAACTTTGCAGGAACAGTCTGAAAAAGGTTGAGACCCCGTGAGACTTTGGTGAAAGATGATCTCAAACAGCCCTTAGCTTCGGCACCTTGAGAGGCACCACATGGGAGACAGCGCCGCCTTGGCTGCGGGGGGGGGGGGCGGGCGGGGAGGGGTGGTGCTGGGGAGGGCCCTGCGCAGCCGTCCACTCAAGTTCACTCTCCTGTCACGATGGCCCCCCACTCAACAGCTGTTCTGCCCCCCCCCCCCACTACCCTGATCAGAGAGGAGCCGGAGCCGGGCATGATGGCAAGCACGGTAAAAAAAAAACAATACTTGATGACGAGAGATGTTGATTTGTGATGAATCGGTCATCTCTGCTTTGAACCGCGAATGAGAAGCAATCAGCAGTTGCTAGCAAAAAAAAACACTTCCCCTTTGTTAGCTGTTGCCGATGCCAAAATGCACAACCGCATCCCCCACCCCCACCAGCCAACAATACATTTCGGACAAACAAAAAACAATTTCAACACTTTCTGTAAATTATAATATATAGTAATTATAGTAAACATCACCATTACTTAATATATACCGCGCCTCCCATGTGCGACAGGGAACCCCCAGTGGTAGCAGTCTCTGTGTGGCTCAAAATGAATGCAGCGCCGGCCAGCAATTGGAAATTAGTCTGCCACTGATTAAAAATAGTAATATGCGCAAAAATGTATTTCGAGACAGCAAGAGGCATCATTGTGACCATGCAGTGGTTTAGACAACCAATAGCGGGACAATTGTACATCATTTTTTTTTTACAGTATATTCTTCAGCACATTAAAGCCATAATTGCTAACGGCTGCCTTGTGGAAGAGGCTAGTGAAGGACGCTACTGGGCAGTTTGAGGCAGACGCCCTCCAGCAATAGAGGGCAGAGGAGCAACGCTCACAACAACGAGTGGAGCGCCAGGCGGCTAAAACACAGCAATTTGGCACAGTACGGGGCACAGGTGGTGCATCGGCCACTCATCTCAGTCAACCCAAGGCAACCCAGGGCTGTCCCATGACCTCCTGTCAGTGGGCGTTCGACACTTCACATGGCCTTAAAGTGCACATAGCCTGGCACAAGCGACATAGTGACGTCACCGCCACTTCGTGGCAAATGGCAGTTGTTGTTGTGTGATCAGGCCATCCCTTCTGCATATATATCGTTACTGAATTATGACGAGATAATACAATACTGAATTTCACTCATCAATGAATCACTAACATTGGGTCTACAAGTATCAATCACAAAAGAATAGAAGCTTCAAATACAAATTCAAATACGCATGGATCTGCGTGAGGGTGAAGTGTGACCCTGTGGCAAGTTTGGAGGTTGAGGAAGTTTTGATTTAAAGCTTTCGTGATTGCAGTAATTCATATTCTTAGTTTTTTCGGTAAAGTCACGTTGAAGGAAAACAACAAAATAATAAAATATATATTATATTATTGCTTATATATATTTTATTATTTTGTTGTTTCCCTTCAACGTGACTTTACCAAAAAAACTAAGAATATGTTGAGGAAGTTGTTAAAATGTTACCGTGCTGTACTTACTTTACACCAATTGTTTTCAGGTGGTCTTCTGTGATGTCCGGTAGCACTGTGCCCGTGATGTTGTGCTCTGTGAAAAACAAAAGTAAAATCTATTCATAACCTGACACCCAGCAGATGTTTTTTTCTCATGGCCTCCCTTGCAAAAATAGACCAACCTTGGCTACTCGGCAGTGATATCATGTTTTCCTTCTGTTTTCTCCACCAAGTTTTAAACGCCCTCCGTCAACATTTTATTGCGTTAATTATCTTTTGCCCGATTAAAACAAATCATCTGAAAGAGACTGGTTGTGCTTAAAAAGATACGGCCTATTCCGTAAGTTTTCCCATTTTCCGGTTGTGTTATATTTCTCTACGGTGGGTGTTTGGGCTGGACCAGGCATGTTCAGCTCCTTAAGATCCTGCAGAAGGCCTCATCACATGCAGCGAAAAGTAGAACACCATGCCAAATAACACACGGGTACGATCCGAACGCCCATCATAAGGCAAAGCCTTGTTGCAAATGTTGTGACGAATTGGCATGTTCTGTTTACGTGCAAACCCCTTAATAGTTGGCTGTGCCGGGTGGTGACAGGTTTTAACGACACATTTATATATTTACACGATGTAACCGAAAAAAACCCCTCTATTACGGATGATATTGGTCACGAAAGCCTACGTGTTAAACTACATTTGTGTATATTCTTTAAAGCCAGTTGCATATATGGTATTAGGTCACGAGATTAACTTCCTTCACACGGTGGCCCTATTGCATGTTGCTGAGGTGCGGTTTGTTGGGATGTGTTGGCAACCGGCTCAAGCCCCGCTTGACAGTGTTTGCAAGTGATCCAGCCCATTGCTTTGTATTCTATTCAGTGATGAACGAGATTGGACAAATTAGGCACTGCCGTGTTTGGTTTTCCAAGCTCTCACTTTAAAAGGCAACAAACTGCTTTATTTGCGTTTGTTAACGATACTGCACCAAATTCAAATACCATTAGGTTTGGCCCGTTGTTATTTTTAGCTTTTTTTGACCAACACAGTACAACTACATAAAAGGTTAAATACGTCAAACTGTCTAGATGTCGCTGGAAGGGACGTGGCCGAAGGTCAGCAAATAATGACGGAGTGACGGGAAAGTAATGGAACGCGGCCACAAGTACATTCAGCGAGGAGATGGAGCGATTGAAACACCACAATCAACATAATCTAATAGCTGTCAACCCATACGGTTTACCCGTATTCTTGTACGGGGAAATTTAGTTTTCAGGTCCAAACTACGTACAGCCGTTTCAATACGCGCAAAAAATGTTTTGTCTATTTATTTGTGTTTCTCCCTAGTGATGGGACTTTGTAGGATGAACGTTGAGATTTATAAGGGGGGCACGGGGTGACCAATGAGGTCTGAATGGGTCTGTAACAAGGTAGAGGCGCTGATAAGGGGTTGACATGTATGCAATCTTAATGACATTTATAAAGCTTTAACCAAAGCGCTGTGCAGTGAATTAACGATGGTGCAAAAACACAAGTGTGGCATGGAGCGAGATGGGGCGGTGAACGTTGTAAATGAGGACGGCGACGACGACGATGATGATGCGTGAGAGGAAACGGGAAGTGAAGTTGACGTAGATGAACGAGTCGATGGAGAAGGCGGGGAGGTTATCAGCAACGCCGCGGGGGAAGGGGTAGACGAGGATGGGGTAGGCGACTGCGAACAGATGGGTCTTTAAGAAGGAGGGGAAGATAGAGGCGTCGTTCATCTCTAAGTAGATGATCTTGGCTGACGTTGATGGTGATCCCCCCCCACCACCACCCCGGGGGTTTTGTATGCCAAGATCTCATCAAGGTCGTGCTCGAGTTACCCAACCAACATCTGGTCAAAGTTCCCAGCCTGCCGAGCCTCACGCCAGGTCGTTTGTTGTCCTTCGCTCCATGGCACCTGCGATTAGCACGGTTGGCAACGCACGGTGCGAAAGTTCAATATGCACAACGTATACGCAGTGATAAGCGCACTGCGCTACGATCCCGGCGAGCTGAATCGAGTCCCACGAAGGGCCAAAAATCAAGTGAAAAATATCTGAACCCGTACCGGACCTCCTCTGGGTGGCCTCCGCTTTGATTGCGTACCCTTGGTTCGGGGTGCCTCCTAACACCAACACCAGGGGGGGGACATACAAACGCAGCCGGGCGGCGTGCTGGCCACGCCACCCACCCGTTCGCGCGCCGTGCCGGCCTCCATAGGCATCCTACGGCGGATGATTCTCCACGGCGTGAGAGCCGCGCCGCGTGTGAGCGTTACGCACTTCTGAAGGCGCCGCAGACCTCGTCCGGCACATCCATCTTCCCCAGCCACTTGGCCACCGTCTCCGCGTCCCAACGCCGCCACGATTCCGCGCCGGGCGCCCGGCTCGCCGCGTCGGCGAGTTCCCGCTCGAGCGCCGTGGCCTCGGAGGGCGGCCCCCCCTCGTCTCCGTCGCCGTTCCCGTCGGCGTCTCCGTCCACGAACCGCGCGCGCTTGCGGTCGGGATCCATGGCTGGCTGGCCCGCGTGTGCGAAGTCGCCTGCCGCGAGCGCCGTGACCAGGCAGCGGTGTCGTCAACAAGGACGGACGGACGAGAGTTCTGCGCGGGGTTGGGGGTGGGTGGGTGGGTGGGCGGGCACGGCGGTCTTCGTATCCGCAGGGCGGGTGGGCAGCTTTGCCCTTCAGCCCAGCACACGCTCGATTGTATTGTCGGCAGCGCGGAGAGATTCCTGCAGGAACAGGGCTGCTGCTGCTGCCGCCTGAGTGGACGCGCAGAGGATGAGTCTGCTTGCTGCTGTTGTTGCTGCTGCTGCTGCCTGCTACGTGCCCGCTGTTGCTGCCTGCAACTGCCTGCCGTTGCCTGCCGATGCCTGCCACTGCCTGCCCACTGCCTGCCGTTGCCTGCCGTTGCCTGCCGATGCCTGCCACTGCCTGCCCACTGCCTGCCGTTGCCTGCCGTTGCCTGCCGATGCCTGCCACTGCCTGCCCACTGCCTGCCCACTGCCTGCCACTGCCTACCGTTGCCGCTCGCCACGTGCGGCGCGGCGATCAGCTGTGGGTACAGCGCTCCACCGGCTGCTGACGGCTTCTCGCGCCAAAATCCTTCGACGTCACGCGTCGCTCCGACCAATCGCAGAAGAGCCGCAGTCGGCGTCATCATCATGTCGCTATACAGTACGATATATCGTACGATATACAACGCGATATATCGTACGATATACAACGCGATATATCGTACGATATACAACGCGATATATCGTACGATATACAACGCGATATATCGTACGATAGACAGTACGATATATCGTACGATATACGACGCGACATATCGTACGATATATAACACCGTACGATATATCGTACGATATGTTCGACTGTTTATACCTTGCAATATATCGTACGATATCGTACGATATATATGATTATATACACGATTATATCGTACTGTAAACAATATCGTACGATATCCGCGATAATCGTTTCGTCCTCTAACTCTTTATAAACAGTCTGCCTCAGCAGATTCCCCCTCTTTTTTCACCTGAAGAAGGTTGCTTGTGTTGCGATCGAAACGTCGTGATGTATTATTGATTTCTACCTGCGTGACTTTACCGAAAGAACCAAATAGTATTTTAATAAGCACCCCTAAAGGCTCATCACCCGTTCACTCGGTACTGAAGTGACCGAGAGGGAGATCAAACGTGGCCCCGTGCACGTAAACATTAATATAATTAACTTTTAAAAAATGTTGATTTAAAGCTTTCATGACTGCAGGGATTCATTAAAATCTTTTTGCAGATGACACGATACTGATTACTGCTGGCCGCTCTCCGGATGACGTGATTGCTAAGCTCCAGGGTGATTTCAACAAACTACAACATCAGCTAGTTGCTCGTAAACTAGTCCTGAATACCTCCAAAACCAAGGTGCTATGCTTCTCACCAGGACTAAAGCAGGAAGTTATTTTTCCCCAATTACATTCCTTGAATAATTATCAAATAGAGCAAGTCAAGATCTATAAGTATCTTGGGGTCATCCTGGATTCAAAACTTAGTTTTGAAGATCACATTGATTGTATTGGTAAAAAGACAAAAATAAAAATAGTTTTTCTGTATCGACACAAGCACTGCTTCCCCCCTATGTTCCGTTTGGAATTGATAAAAGCTACCATACTGCCTCTACTTGACTACTGTGACATCGTGTATAAATCAGCCCCAAGTACTGTACTGAAGATGCTATCACTCGGCCTTAAGATTTACATTGAACTGCCCATATAGGACTCATCACTGTGATCTCTACATTGGGTCAAACTTAACATCTCTTAATGTTTGACGGCTTGTGCACCAGATCTTATTCATTCACGATGTACTTAAAAAAAATTCCACAGACTACCTACTGGATCTCCTCTCTATTTCAAAGAACAAATTTGACCTCAGGTCTTCGTTCATTTACCAGCTTCACATTCCCTATTGCCGTACAAAAACTGGAGGAAGGGCCTTTGCTATTGATGCCCCCAGGGTCTGGAATGCTATTGCCAATAAACTGCAACTTGAATCACTACCTATGAGATATTCGCTCAAAACTGCTCTAGAGGAGTTGTACAACCCTAGCTGCCACTGCTATTCAGTGGCCTAAAATATGGCTCTAGATTTTGGTGTTATAATTTATTTATTGTAGTTTATTGTAAAAAAATCGGTCACAGTCCCTATGATCACTGTTACATTGGATTTATGGCTTTTATTTTGGTGATTTTCGAAAAGGTTTTTTTGTTTTGGCCATGTTTTTGTTTATTGTAGTACGGAGTTAGACTGACGGCCTTAATCTTAGTTGTCTTGTGGTTGTTGTTGGTGTTGTTATTTGACTTGCATCCCACTGGGATTTTTGCACACAGCGTTGGTGTACGGTGCTATTTCAGGAATATTTTGATATTTTTTTTTCCTGTATTTTCTGTTTGCACAGTCACATAGTCACTTTAAGATGTTTTCTTGTTCATGTTTTTTTGTTTGTTGTGGTTGCACCCGATTCAAGAGCCGAATGGCTCACAGGGCTACACCAAAATAAATGAACTATGAACTATATTGTTGGTTCTTTCGGTAAAGTCACGTAGACGGGAAACAATAAAATAATAAAACATATAAAACAATAATTTTTGTTTTATATTTTTTTTAAAAAATAATAAAAATATAAAACGATCATTGTTGTTTTATATTTGTATTATTTTATTGTTTCCCTTCTATGTGACTTTACAGACATAACCAAGAATATAACTTTAAAATGTTTTTTTTTATCCCGTGCGGTGGGGTTGTTTGACCATACTTCACCACGCTGGTCAGTGTGGGCTGGTGAAGAAACCAACGAATTCAAATGTCTGTAGAAGGATCGCTGTCTCGAGCGCCTCTTCATGGCCATTGACCGAGCAACGTTGGGTTGCTCGGTCAATGGCCAGGGTCAACGGCGGCACCACGTGGTGTATTCCGCAAATATGCCCGACTGTGAGGGCGGGCACAAGCCGGCGTGAGTAGGTTAAACGTTGAGTTTTATAAGGGCACCACGGGGTGACCAGCCCCTCCCCACCCTCCCCCCAACCAGCCCCACCCTCCCCACCCAGCGCCTCCCCACCCTCCCCACCTAGCCCCTCCCCACCCAGCCCCTCCCCCACCTAGCCCCACCCCTCCCACCCCCCACCCAGCCCCTCCCCACGCTCCCCTCCCCACCCTCCCCACCAAGCCCCTCCCGACCCAGCCCCTCCCTCCCCACCCGGCCCCTCCCCACCCTCCCCTCTCCACCCAGCCCCTCCCCACCCTCCCCTCTCCACCCAGCCCCACCCCTCCCATTTTTGGATACACGACGGACGGACGGACACAATAATCCCCTGTGGGCTGGTGTAACCAGGAGGTTCCAACCAGTATAATTTGTCTGTTCTCGGTGTCCTTTGCGGTGTTGTTCGCTCAAATAGTTGATTCTTACGGCAGAGGGCAGTATAAGCGTACGGTTGAGAGAGAGCGAGAGCTAAATAAGATGACTTTAATTGTATAATTATCCCAATTATCACAACACTCTCGGCTCGAAGTCAACATACACCCGCGCCTCCGATTAGTACGGGTGGCTACGTACGGTGCGAAAGAAGGTCAAAACTAATACATAGACTCACACAGAGACCCACAGACTCACACAGGGACCCACAAACACACAGACTGACAGACTCACACAGAGACCCGTAGACCCACACAGAGACCAGTAGACCCACACAGAGACCCGTAGACTCACACAGAGACCTGTTGACTCACACAGAGACCCGTAGACTCACACAGAGACCCACAGACTCAAACAGAGACCCGGAGACTCACACAGAGACCCACAGACTCACACAGAGACCCGTAGACCCACACATAGACCCACAGACTCACACAGAGACCCATAGACTCACGCAGAGACCCGTTGACCCACACAGAGACCCGTAGACTCACACAGAGACCCGTAGACCCACACAGAGACCCGTAGACCCATATGGAGACCCGTAGTCCCACACAGAGACCCATAGACTCATACAGAGTCCCGTAGACTCACACAAAGACCCGTAGACCCACATAGAGACCCGTAGACCCACACAGAAACCCATAACCCCACACAGAGACCCATAGACTGACACAGAGACCCGTAGATCCACACAGAGACCGGTAGACCCACACAGAGAACCGTAGACTCACACAGAAACCCGTAGACTCACACAGAGACCCGTAGACCTACACAAAGACCAGTAGACTGACACGGAGACCCGTAGACTCACACGGAGAACCGTAGACCCACACAGAGACCCACAGACTCACACAGAGATCCATAGCCTCACACAGAGACCCACAGACTCACACAGAGAACTGTAGACTCACACATAGACCCGTAGACTCACACAGAGACCCGTAGATCCACACAGAGACCAGTAGACCCATACAGAGACGTGTAGACTCACACAGAGACCTGTAGACTCACACAGAGACCCGTAGACTCACACAGAGACCCACAGACTCACACAGAGACCCGTAGACCCACACAGAGACCCATAGACTCACACAGAGACCCACAGACTCACACAGAGACCCGTAGACCCACACAGAGACCCGTAGACCCACACAGAGACCCGTTGACCCATACAGAGACCCGTAGTCCCACACAGAGACCCATAGACTCATACAGAGACCCATAGACTCATACAGAGACCCGTAGACTCACACAAAGACCCGTAGACCCACACAGAGACCCATAGACTGACACAGAGACCCGTAGACTCACAGAGAGACTCATAGACTCACACAAAGACGAGTAGACTGACATAGAGACCCGTAGACCCACACGGAGACCCGTAGACTCACACGGAGACCCGTAGACCCACACAGAGACCCGTAGACCCACACAGAGACCCATAGACTCACACAGAGACCCGTAGACCCACACAGAGACCCGTAGACTGACACAGAGACCCGTAGACTCACACAGAGACCCGTAGACCCACACAGAGACGCGTGGACTCACACAGAGACCCGTAGACCCACACAGAGACCCGTAGACCCACACAGAGACCCGTAGACTCACACAGAGACCCGTAGACCCACACAGAGACTCGCAGACTCACACAAAGACCCGTAGACTCACACAGAGACCTGTAGACTCACACAGAGACCCATAGACCCACACAGATACCCGTAGACTCACACAGAGTCCTGTAGACCTACACAGACCCGTAGACCCACACAGAGACCCGTAGACTCACACAGAGACCCGTAGACTCACATAGAGACCCGTAGACTCACACAGACACCCGTAGACCCACACAGAGACCCGTAGACCCACGCAGAAACCCGTAGACTCATACAGAGACCTGTAGACTC